CCCCCTCCCCGCCGCCTCCGCCGCGCCGGCAAAGGAGTCCCTCAGCAGCCCCTTCCCCCTTGCACCTCTCCCCCGCCAGCCCAGCACCGTGCGGGGGGGCCGCCAGGGCAGGGTTTGGGAGGAGTCCCCCCCCCACCGCAGAGCAGGGACCCCCCCAGGAGGGCGGTGCAGCTAGGGGCCCCCACGAGCCCCCCAGTGCTGCAGAGACGTGACCCCCCCACTCCGCAGTGCAAGGCAGCAGGGTGCAAATGTCTCGGGCCAGAGATCGCCCAGGTCCTGGCTCCAAAGGAAATACTGTGAGTGGATTATTATTAAGGCTAATAAATAAGAAGAATTAGGGTTGCCAGATGGTTTCCTGGCATGACATCGCAATCTGCCTGGCATGGTATTTAGAAAATACCGGGCATTTCTGTTTTCTCATTTCTATTGTCTCAATGTGTTTCCCCAACAGACAGCTCAAATACTGGACTGTCTGGTTCAAAACCGGACACCTGGCAACCCTGGTAATATTAATAATTAATTAATAATAATAGAAACAATAAATAACTAAAAAGATGTCCCAGTCCATTCAAAAGCTGCTGGCGGACCAGATTTGGCCCGCCGCCTGCCTCCTGACTATCCCTGGAGTGAAGGAGCCCTGTTCTTTCAATGCACTCCCATGAGATGATGGGAAACTGAGGTAGAGCATCCCAAAGGAGGGGGTACCATTAGCTCTGACTGCACTGAAGATTGGGTATCCCCCACCTTAATGACATGCAGATAGGGATCCTTCCATCCCAAATGCACTGAAGCAAAGGATCCCCCCTTCCCCCATGCAATGTGGAGCCAGAAACTGCTCCATATATCCCTCCTGAATGCACTGGAGAGATTCTTCCCCCTTATATACTGAAGCGCTGGGAGCCTCCCATCCTAATTCACTGCAGACATAGCAACCCCACCTTACCCCTTTAAAAAAAAGGCAAAAGGGTTTGTTCCCATTGAAATTAATTGGCGCTTAGCACCTCTGAAATATCAGGCTCCAGGGTGTCTCATGTGCGGGAAGGGGTGAGCGCTGAACACTGTAAGCACCCTGACTCAATTATTCCCATTGGAAATTGTGGCCTTGACAGCTTCCCAGCCAGTAAATGGATTTTCTGTCCCTTTCTAAGAGGCGAGCTACGTATTAATAGCTATTTCCTTCCAGTCAGCTGCATCATCAGTTGCTGCATCTTGCTGCCTTCAAAGCTCTCCCTTGATCTACCCCTCCTCAAGCGATCCCTCCTTTCCCCATCGCTACACCCTCTCTTTTCTGTACAGCTACCTTACGTTTTGTCTTGTCTTATGCAGATCATTACTCTTTGGGACAGGGAGAGTCTACTGCTCTAGCGGCTGCCCTGACCCTCTGTGATAAGTAAATACATCAATGAAAATAAAAAGGTACTCACAGCTCCACAGTAACAATGGGGATGTCGGTACTAGGATGGTTTAATGACCATAGCTTTTTTGTGTGTGGCTTCGCATCACATTGGGAATGCTCCTGAACTGGATAGCAGATATCTCACTTAATCAATTCTCTGCCCTTGCAGGTGCTTTGGCTGCATTTTGAGGCTCCTGTTCTCTGCAGATAGCACCTACTCCTTTTGGTGCCTGTGCGGTGTAATGCTTTGGTGAATTCTGGTTTGGCGGGTGGGGCTTACGGTGGGGAGGGGGCCTGGTTGTGGTCGTGGTCTGTGCTAAACAGGAGGTCAAAACTGTACGAGCCAGTGGCACCTTCCTGTCTAGGATGCTCTGCCTCATTTTCTGATTGTTTCACAGGGAGTGATTGATTTCTACACCCGGGGAGAAAATCTACAACTGTTGACAGACCAGAAGGGTGCCCAGTTTTCCAGGTAAGGGCCTCCCCTTGCTCCTACTGACACCAAAGGGAACAGGAGAAACCAATACATTAACCCTAATGCCCATTCTTGCATTTGAATGTCTATGGAGGTGGCTCTCCCTCACTTGTTCCCCAAGCAATAGTCACATCATTCCTTAAAGCTACTACTTCCCTGACACCCCTTTTATGCCCCCAGCCCAATGTATAGAACACACAAGGCTTGGGAAGAGGTTAAAATCTGTATCAGTTTGCCCACCTGGTCCTGTTTGCGTCTAATCTCTATTGTCAATGTCTGGTAGGACAGATTGTGCAAGCAACATACAGGAAATAATAACAATAAAGCCAGCAGCTGAGTTCTGTGTGATCTAACCCCACGCACCCACCATGTCTCCTCCCCACTCCTGTTGGTACCAAGCATCCATCTAAGTGCCATGTTCTTGCCCCCATACTACAAGGTCATGACATTCTGTTAGCAAAAGTCATATTGCCAAGGATTCAAACAGTAACCACATTAACAAGTCCATGCAACATGCCATGGGGTTATGGCTCTGCTCTGTTAAGCAAAGTTTGATGGCAGCACCTAATTGATCATACCCAAGATCTTAAGAGCAATACTCTAATACCAGGAGTGCCTGCTAGTCTTTTTTACCAAATGCCCTGAGATCAATGTACACACTGCTTTTGCCAAGCCGCAAATGCTTATGGCAAGGCCAAAGCGACTCAGGACACTGGCCTGTTACCAGATCACAGGGGATACAGCACAGTGCCCTGCCATAAATAAGCTACTGGACTGTTTTACCTCGTAGTATAACATTTTTCACTAGGGATCTGGTTCGCTTGAGCGAAGAAGGGACAGTGCGTTAGTGCCTAATTAACTTCTTGTTTCTAAAAGTTTCATTGCAAGAGGGGAAGTGGGGAATGAAATCATTCTCTGGATGATGTGTGGCAGTTGCATAGGAACATAGTGGTTTTCCTTCGTGGTTTCCTTTTAGCTAATGATGCTGATGGTATAATCTGGGGGGAAGGTGAGTTTCTGACAGATACCCCCCTCTTCTTTATGACAGGGCCAATAATTGCATATTGGAATGAGTTGCCCTTTTATTTGATTTCTTTAATATCTTCTATTGTGCATGACAAAATAATCACATTACAATAAACAATTAGTAAGAGGAAGATATCACCATCATCATCATGGCCAACCTCAGAGGGACAAAGCTTCCTTGCAGATCAACCACACACTAGATCTTTTAAGTTGATCTGCTGGATTTTTATTTTTGGCCCTTCGTTGGCAGTCTTATCATGCCACCCAAGCTTTTGGCAACCATAGTTGCTGGCTGAGCAGCAGCATTCCCGCTGAAAGTGCTTTATAATTTCTGAACATGCTTTTTAATTTCCCAGTCTTCCATCCTAATATGTTTGTAACAAGAAAGCGTATACACAAATACAGTACAGAGAATGAGCCTGATCATCATCTGTAATAAATCTGCATAGCTCCATCGAAATCAATGGGGCTACCCTGATTTACACCAGCTGAAGACTTGCCTCAGGGCTTGTTTCCTCTTATCCCAAGATCCAAGCTTCGGAGCTCAATCTCTCAGGGTTCGATTTATTGGGTCTAGTAAGGACCTGCTAAATCAACCACTGATGGCACCCTCATCAACCCTGGTACTCTACCAAGTCACAAAGAGTAAGGGAAGTCAACGCGAGAGTTTCTGCTGTTGACCACCCGCAGTTGGGATGTCTTGGAAATTTGACCTAAGGTATGTCGACTCCAGCTACAGTATTCATGTAGCTGGAGTTGGGTATCTTAGGTCAACTTTCTCCACTAGCAAAGACCTGGCCTCAATGTTTAAAAGAATCATTCTACAAAAGCACATCCATGATA